TATTATTATTGCTATTATTATTATCATTATCATTATCATTATTATTATTGTTATTATTACCATTATTATTGTTATCATTATTATAATTCCTGTTGTCATTATCATTATTGTTGTTATCATAATCATTACTATTATCATTATTATTATTATCATTATTATTATCATTATTATTATTATTATTATCATTGTTATTATTATTACTAATGCTACCATTATTACTATTACTAATGCTATCATTATTATTATTATCTTTACTATCATTATAATCTTTACTTTATCACAACTCACAACCTACCACTCTCTCTCTCTCTCTCTCCTCTCCTCTCCCTCCCTCTCCCCCCCTCCCTTCCTCTCCCTCCCCTCCCTCCCTCAACCTCCCTCCCTCTCTCCCCCTCTCCCCTCCCTCCCTCTCCCCTCTCCCTCTCCCTACCTCTCCCCCTCCCTCCCTCTCCCTCCATCCCTCCCTCTCCCTCTCTCCCTCCCCCTCTCCCTCCCTCTCCCCCTCCCCCCTCCCCTCCCTCCCTCCCCTCCCTCCCTCCCTCTCTCTCCTTCACCCCAACCCACCACAGCCGCAGCGATGACGACCCTCCCCGGCTGAATCGAAGTGATGAGTTCGACCATATCCACGTGCTCGGCTGGCTGGAAGGTGATGAACCGCTGTGTCCTCATCACACGCCCTCCGCATGGGTGTAGGACGATGATATGGAGTCCCGAGTGAGGGCGTTTGTACCCCATTTGCAGTGGGCCCCCGACCGCCTCGTATATCTGGTGGAGGAGGGTTGTGGGGATGGTGATGAATTGTGGGGATTGTGGGGATGGTGGGGATGATGGTGATGATGGAGGAGGATTATGGGGATAATGATGAATTGTGGGGATTGTGGGGATGGTGGGGATGGTGGTGGTGATGATGGTGATGATGGTGATGATGGGGATGGTGATGATGGTGGTGTTGATGGTGGAGGAGGATTGTGGGGATAGTGATGAATTGTGGGGATGGTTAAGACGATGGTGGGGATGGTGAAGATGGTGGTTTGGGATGATGGTGATGGTGGTGGGGATGATGAGGTTGGTGGGAATGGTGGTGGAGATGATGGTGGAGATGGTGATGACGGTGAGAGGGTTGGTGATGAGGATGCTGAAGAGGTTTAGTGATGATGGTGATGAGGTATGGCGATGGTGGGGATGGTGAGGATGATGGTGATTTGGTCTGGTCATGGTGATGATGAGGATGCAGATGATGGTGATGATGAGGATGCAGATGATGGTGATGAGTAATGTTGGGGATTGGTGATGAAATGCGGTGATGATGATGATGAGGTTTGGTGATGGATGGTTGATGGTGATGATAATGATGATAATAGCAATTCTAGGGATGGTGATAACAATGGCATAATGACAATGCTCATTTTTGTGATGATAATAATGATAACAATTATGATAGACTATAGCAGTAATTATTAAAAAAAACTATTATATCAGTATTATCGTTGTCACTATCATCATCATTATTATCATCAGTATCATCATCCTTATTGTTATCACTATCATCATTATCTTAATTATAATTACCATCATTATCACTACTATCACTGTTGTTACTTCTATTCTAGATATTACTGTCATAATTATTATAAACAAATCTTTAATAATAAGGATGACTACGATCATGATTAAAGACGAAAATGAAGCAAACAAGTAATGATAAAAAGTGACAAAAAATGAAAAATAAAAAATATGTCTTAAATATTAAATAAATGAATCTATTTACTAAGAGGACGATTTAGGAAAACAGATCCAATGTAACTATTTATCACAAAATCATTTGCTAAGTCTAAATCTAATTCCTTCTTTTGTGCAAATAAATGGAATAGTTTACAAGTGAGATAATGATAAAGAGGAATTCAATAAGAGAGAAAGGAATTTCAGAGAGAGGGAGGGAGGAAGAGAGAGAGAGGAGGGGGAGGTAACGAGAGAGAGAAAGAGAGAGAAAGAGAAAGAGAGAGAGAGAGAGAGAGAGAGAGAGAGAGAGAGAGAGAGAGAGAGAGAGAGAGAGAGAGAGAGAGAGAGAGAGAGAGAGGAGAAGGAGAAGAGAAAGAGAGAGAACAAGAGAGAAAGAGCGAAAGAATGAGAGAGAGAGAGAGAGAGAGAGAGAGATGAGAGAGAGAGAGAGAGAGAGAGAGAGAGAGAGAGAGAGAGAGAGAGAGAGAGAGAGAGAGAGAGAGGAAAATACTTACAACTTGTCCATTCAAAGTTACTTCTAATTTTGTGACGTTGATGAGCACAGTGATGTCCAGGCCTCCGTCATCGCTTGCTGTTTATTTGTCGTTGTTGTTGTTGATTGGTTTTGTTAATGATAATTCAGGAATAAAATATCATAGTAGTAGGCTGATTCGATATTTTGAAAAGTATAGCAGGTACAGTATTTCAGCGGTCGTTAACGGTCATCATTGCATCATTATTATATTCGATTTATATTTGATGCATAACCAAATATACAACT